GAAAAACCCATATTAAAACCCCAGTTGCAGAAATTAGAGAAGATCAGCCTTTAGAATTCTTAATTGGAAAAAGTTTCCCATTTTCTCATTTCTCAGTTGAATTGTTTTTCTTTAGTTGGGAAGCGAATGTGTTCTTTCTTGATCTTCTTAAGGGAAAAAAAAATAGCATTAAATTTAGGAAAGTGCGGCTCAACTGGCGTTGATTGGCCAAAGAAACAATAAATAATAGCATTGACTGGATGCCGGTTTCACAGTTTTCCAAATATGGCGTGTAGTGTGGACTGGGGAGACGGGTCTCTCCTTGACGAGGTTGGGTTTCCTTGTTCGTTCCAAGTGCTGGCTGTGCCAGGACGAAGAAGACGTCATTACACATGATAATTATATCATTAGGTCATTATAATGACCTAATGATTTTACTTTGAATTTTACAATATTACCGTCCCATCCAACTGCTTTTAGAGAGAGATAAGAGCATATTAGAGAAATAGGGGTAAGTAGAATTATTTTAGAGGGATGTAGGAATAGAAGAGAAAGGTACTACCTTCTTATTATACTCTAGACTAGACTAGATTGGTGTACAAAGAAATAGAGCTGGAGTTGTCAAACTAATCCCTTCATCAACACATGAAGCACGTTACCAAAACAAAGTGATCCCAAGATTATATAGTACAGTCTCCAGATTTGTTGAATAACATGTCTGCTTCGGTTGCTAACTCTACACTCAAATCGCTTGGATTAAACTAACTTAAGATTAAGTGACGATGAACCTACCTACTCAAAGAAGAATTTTGCAAGACAAACAAACCAAGTTTATATAATAGTACAAAGTCAACATAGTGCTGATTATTCACAAAAGCATCATAAATTTACAACTTAATTCACAAACGCTATCGAGGATCAAAATCAGTTGTCATAGCCTCATTTACTAAGAAATCAGTGGATCTTCGTCTGGATTGAGCAGATGCAGATGCAAATGATTAGGACTCTGGCTTAATGATAGGGTGCATAAGAGATGCTGGTTTTGAGAGCATTTGAAGAGATACAGAGATGCTACTAAGCATGAGAACAACAGAGGCCGTAGTTGGCCTTCTAGCAACATTTTCTTGAACACATAGTAAGCCTAGCTGCATGCATCTCAACATTGCCCTCCTCGAGCCATCCCTCTAGATCGGATCTATAAAATTCAGAGCAGTCCCTTAATTCCATCCAATGTTTCCATACCTGCATAGATTGAAAAATCTCTAAATATTTTAGCCTTAAAAATACATTCTCTCAATTCCTGGCATCATTATTTGACTCTTAAAACACTACAAAATGAAGCTAATCTTAAGTATCACTTACATTAGTTGGAAGATTCTCCCCTTCTTCTCCATTACTGAGATAGACTTTTTGATGACTAATGATCTCAAGCACTAGCACACCAAAACTATAAACATTAGACTTAACCGAAAAATTTTTATTTGTTATATACTCTAGATTCATATATCCACTGGGTTCAATAGCTGAATTGAGGATTCCTATATTTAGACCACACAAAACGGTAACTAAAAGGTGGTTCTTGTACTTATAATGTGATTATAGTGTGATTCTTATACTTATAGTGTTTCAACAATTTTACTTGAATTAGCTGGCGTTTGATCCCAGCAAATAACCTTGCCATACCAAAATTTGAAATTTGAAATTTATTTTTGCATCTAACAAAATGTTTGCAACTTCTAAATTACGATGTATGATTCAATATTAAGAATTTTCATGAAGGTACAGAATCCGGCTAGTTATTCCCCCTATGACTTTATATCTTTGTTCCAATCTAATAGTAAAGGTTTGATTGGATCTCCAAATTCAAAAAATTACAAAATTAATGGGTTTAAATACATCTGAGAGAGAAAAACCATTAGCTATTGCAAAGGAGGTACAATACTAAAACAGAGTTTCTCTAAAAAAAATAATTTCAAGCAAGTTCAGGTCATGCATCACAAATAAAACGAACAAGAATTAATTCTTAAGGTGAAAAGAAGAGAGAACGGCCGGAATATAAAGTGATCAAGGCTTGAGTTGGGAACAAACTCATAGATGAGAAACCTTTCTTTCCCTTCCAAGCAAAAACCTAGGAGTTTAACCAAATTCCTGTGATAGGATGAAGGCTTTTCAACTGTAGGGTATTAACAAAAGAAAAACTGTCTTGGGTTATAAACTATTTATAAGCATAAGGGAAAAGTACGTAAACACATAATAGAATAGGTGGAGATACCTTATAAACAACACCAAATCCACCTCATCGTAGCTTGTTCTGGTTGGAAAAGTTATCAGTGGCAACCCTTATTGTACCGAAGTCAAATCGCATGGACTCAGCACTAATACTTTCATCCACACCTTCATAGGAAAAAAAGTGAGTTAACACATGAACAAATTCCATGAGGCCCTGACTTTATTCATCGATCATTAACTATCATTTTGTTTTACCAAGCCTACAGCTACAGCCTAATTAATCATGACATGTTTTCTTGTTGTTCCTATCAAACAACACTCACCCTTAACTTCCTGCTTTGACTTCCATCTCTTTCGGAGAAGGGAACAAGTGATGGCAAGAATTGCCATGAAACCAGTGGTTGAAACAACAACAACAATTATAACAGTGTGTAGCAATTTGCCTGTTTTCTGCAAAATCTGAAAAATATTCGTAGCTACTCAAATGCTTTAGAATAAATCTCTAATAAAATTGATCCGATTTCTATACATCCTTTTGATGTTATACATAAACCGAGTACAATCATATTTTGTTTCCGCCCAATCTGAATAAAATCCATTTCTCCAAGGAAAGATGTACTTACCTTTTGCGGTTGTGTTATTATTTGAATTTGAAAACGGACAACCGCTCAAAGTAGCGGCGGACTGCTAGGTGGAGGTGGAAGAGGGGTATAGAAGGGATACAAATCCCACCGGAAAAACAGCTCGCTTTTGGAACAACACCCACTCTCTTTCCATGGCAACAGTTTTCATAATCACTCACGGATTGCCTCAGGCCGAAATCACAATCCCATTGTGATAAATCAGAAGTGCATTGTATAAGGGCAAAATTTGTTTGAAATTTTGTTAACTTTGTTTCTCCTGTGGCAAACTTAAGTCTAGAAGTTACAGCAGAAGCATTTCTCACTAAACCATCCATTAACCTCTCCCAAATCTGATCAAACTGTGCCAAATTTACGGTGAGGTCATCTGTATTAGTGAATTGAAACTTTCGGAGATAGCTCAAGATTTCCGAAGAAGCAACGGTTTGCATTGTGTATCGTTCTGTCTTCCATTGAAACTGCTTCTTTTTGGTTTGGACAGTTGGTGATGAAATCTTGGATTGTCGAATTGATACAACTGGAACAATCCTTTGCAGACTGGTCTCCCCTGCAACGCGCTAGAGCATATACCTTATTGGGATCTTTACCAACGGTGGTATTGTAGAAACCACCATTTTCTGAGGTATTAGAGGCTAAAGAAGAGGGAGCGAGGTCGCGGTCCCTGCCATACATACCGTTTACGGTGAAGTTCCCAGTACTGTAGCAGTTAGCAGATTCAGCAATGTCAAAATTCATGAATGTAAGCACGCAGAGAAGAAGAAGAAGAAGAAGAAGAAGTAGAACACGGTAATGAAACTCCATTACTAGATTATATTCTTGTTTGCGCAGCAACAAGCATCAAATCGGAGTCTTTCTGGATTTCACTTGCAGAAAGTTGCTGTTTTCTTAAAATTAAAGGGCATTTATAGCCTCATTGGGGGAAATATTTTCAATTTTATGACTTTATCTTGTTGAGTTGTCGTCCTCTTTTTGCCTCTTTAGAAGGGTAAAAGAAAGTCCAACCTAATTCACTAGCCAGTCCTTCCCCTATCTGTCAGGGTGGAATTTCTGTATATCTTCTTCCATCTTGCCTTTCTCAATAATGCGCGGGTTCAATTTTCACAAAATACTCATGACCTTGCACATTTTTTAAAAAACTGTTTTTCTCTCTCTTTTTTTTTTTTTAGCATATAAAGTAGTACAGTAACAATTAAAACTTTTTTACTATAAAAAATAAAATTATTTAACAAAAATTACAAAAAAAAAAAAAAATTAGCATTGATGTACTACATAAAAATAAATACGTGTACAATATTGATTGAGAGAGAGAGGAAGGAACGCAAGACACTTTTTATAAAAGACTATTTTTGTATAAAAATAACTTACCCCTTGTATCAGTTAAATTGAGATTAATGTTTTGTTGGTTTAATCTCAAGGGCTTTACTTTTGAACCTTATTTTGAGTAAATCTTATTATTATGAAGTCTAAAATATATTCTTGTAAAATCTAGTTTGATTGTTAAAAGAACTTCATATCTGAGGCAAATTTGTGTTTTGATGACAGATTTAATGCAGCAAAGATGTTGGAAAAGCTGAGAAACCGGCGGCATGCATTTATAGGTGATTCGATTGGGAGGAACCAGTGGGAGTCTATGCTCTGCATGCTTGCCTCTGCTATACCAAACAAAAAGTCTACCTATGAGATAAATGGGAGTCCAATAACATAGCACAAAGGGTTCTTAGTGTTCAGGTTTGAAGATTATATATAATTGTACAATTGAGTACTATAGAGCTCCATATCTAAGTGGTCCAGGGAAGCTCCTCTTGAATAAGAGAGATGATATTTATACCTTGTACGTCTTTGAACAACTTAAATTTGCACTTGATTTGCTCATGGTTTCCTTCCTAATTGATATGAAAAAAAAATGCTATATGGCATATCTTTTTGTGGCGTGAGCATGACTGGAGGATTAATTTTTGTTAGATTGATATGAGGCTGCACCAATTCCTTAATATTAATGTTCATTGTTTTGGATTCTTCTGCATAAACATGACAAAAGCATATCCATTGTTGTGGGATTAACATGGAACACCATGGTTAAAAGTTACAAAATATAAGTTTTTTAGTGGTGAATTTGACATAATTTTTAATTTTATTTTTTTATTTATGTAATTTAAATATAAAATGTTTTATTTTTAATATTAAAATATAAACATTTATCTAATATTTATATTTTAAAATATAAAGAATTAATTTTTAATCATAAATTTTAAAATAATTAAATAAATTAAAATTCTATAAAAATATAAAATAAAAAATAAAGTGGGAGTTGTGCTTCATTAATTCACTAAATAAAAATATTTATTTCAATCATTTTAATATTATATTAGATTAAAATATCTTTCATAAAAAATTTACTAAACAACTTTTTATTCCAAAAGTAATTCTGCAAAAAATTTTATTAAATACCTTTTACTTCGAAAAAATAAAACTTCTACAATAAATTTTTTTAAAAAAAACTTTCATCAAAAGCTTCACCCACATCAAACATACCTAAATTTTGGTTGTGTGATGTTATTGCTTATTAAATGTTAAGGGTTCATGCCCTGTTTTATTCATTTGTAATATTTTTTCTGTATCATAAAAGGCAGGACACTATTGGACAAAAAGCATAAAAAAAAAAAAAATAATAGAGGAAGAAGCTAAAGAATCTATACAAGTTATAGCCACGACTCAAGGAAATCTCCCAAACTTGAGATTGAAATGCAAATTGATCAATAAACTCGGAATAGTGATGGATTGGGCGATAGACTTCACAAATAGAATTGCAACACACTTACAGTGGGGAAAGCAAGAGATTGCTGTAGGGTAGTGTAGAGGGAAATCAAGATGGGCGCTTTCTGATGAGATATATCAATGGAGAAGAAAGGAAGTGGTGGGATAAGTGGGGAGGAATAATGTTTGATTGGCAAATGACTGTTTAGGGCTTGATCGGAGAGGATGGGTGGATTTCATTAAGTAGAACGACGTCGTTACATGCAGATCTCCCAAAAAATTTTTGGAGGTTGATTGGCAGAGTAGGGGTGTCAACGAGGCCCATGGGACCAGAGAGTCCCTCCCCGTTCCAGTTTTTGCTATTTGTGGGGATGGGAATCTCTGCGGAGATTTTTAATAAGGGATAAATTTTGCCCCTCATCCCCATTTTTCATGGAGAATGGGGATCTCATTCCTTACCAATTAATATAAAAGAATAATTTTTTTACATATAATTAATTAATATTCAATTATAATTAATAAAATTTTAAAAATTCAAGTATAATTAATTAAAATT